AAGATCCCGAGAGGAGAATGGAGGAGAAGAGATTGTGGCGTGGCCATCCCTTCTTGGGGGTGATTTCTCGCTTTCTATCTCTCTGTCTCTCTCTGTTTTCTAGCAAGTGACATGTGCCCTATAGAAAAAACTCTCAAAAAAAAAAAAAAAAAAAAAAGAGAGAAAAAAATACATTGGAAATATGAGCTTAATACATTTTATGATTTACGAAACAATGCTCATGAGAAATGTTTATTCTTTGTTTTGGTGACATACATTAACATTTTTATTTTTTAGTATCAAGAATTGAACTTAAAATATATTTCTTCTCCTAGCTCTAATGTTCTAGGACTTTATGAAAACTGCTGTATTCTCTGAAACAAACAGTCTTCTCTCCAAATTCTCACAATCTAGGTGACCATCACTGAGACAGAAAGAGTGCATGACCCACTCTCATCTTAGAGTCCTGCCACACGCCCATGCTATCAGCCTTCAGCTAGGCCCTCCCTCCCGCTCGACAAACTTTATTTTTCTCTTACTTCATTTACCATATCCTTACCAAAAGCTTTGCTTGTACTCTCATCAAGCCTGTCATTATGCTGCCGTACTTCAACTCTCCGCGTCACTCCTCTGCGGCTGACCAAGAGGAGGTCTAACCAGGTCCTGGGGTCTTTGCTCTTTCCTAGCTTGAACTTCTGCATAAAATCCATGCTTTCTTGCCCTCATCCTAAGAAGAAAAGGTATCCTCTACTGTCTTCCAAGGTAACAAATATTTTTACCAAGTTTTCATTACCATAAGAAAATCTTTGCATTATCTTCCTAGGTTCTTTAACTATTTTCAAATTTCATTCCTTTCTGCATTCAGTATCAGTCGCTGATAGAGATGCCCAGAAAACAAAGATGAATCATACTTATGTCTGTCTCAGTTTAGTAAGCGATCTGCCAACTTTCAGAATGAGTACTTCACATTTATTTCACAACTGCATCCATTTTCTCATAAGCTGTTCTCCCGATTCCTGTATAAGCTGTTTTTCTTCTTAGAGTGGAAATGTCCAAAAGGAAAACACAAGTCAGTCAGTCACAGTTCACTCACTCGTTGAAAAGCAAGACATGGGAACCAGCAGTTAGCGTAATGGCTATGTCGCTGGACTCCCACGTAGTCGACCACGGTTCGTGTCCCGGACCCGGTGGCTTAAAACTCACGCTGGGCGCGTGTGCGTGCATGCCCAAGATCCCGAGAGGAGAATGGAGGAGAAGGGATTGCGGCGTGACCATCCCCCAGGGGGGTGATTTCTCGCTTTCTGTCTCTATGTCTCTCTCTGTCTGTCTGGCGAGCGCACGTGCCCTACAGTGAAAATCTCTCCAAAAAAAAAAAAAAAAAGGCAAGACATAAAATTGTACATAGACAGTAATTTAAAACAATAGCAGGAAACTATAGAATAAAGAAAAAACCCCCCAAAAAACCCACCACACATCCCAAGTGGACTGTGTCTGCGGCCGTGGACACTGCTGACGCCCACCTCACTGCTCTCCTGAATCTCCACAGTACAACATTCCCACACCGACTTCCCTAGGTCCTACCTGGGCATCTCTTTCACTCTATGCCTGGAACAGGCTTTCTTCAAGTTTTTCTATTTTAGAAGTCTCATACACCTGCAAGGCTTCAAGTATCACCATTGCTCAGAGGGCTAATGGAGCTCTGCCTCCTGATTCCAACCAAGGCTGATGCCTGCATTTGGATATTCTACCACCTCACACCTACTGCTTCCTTTACTGAAATGCCTTCCTTCAGCTGATCTGTCAACTTAGCAGATTTTTAGACTTAACTCAAATAATACCTTTAATGTTATGACTTCCCAGGTTCAAACATACCTTGATGGCCCTTTCCCCAAATCACTGAATATTGAATATTACGTATTACAATGAAGTTATATATCTATATGTCTGTCTCTCTGCTGCTCTGAATGGTTCTAGGAGACAGGGAACTGGTACAGCATTCAGCATATTGCAGGATCTTGAGGAGGAATGAACAAGTAAAACCTAAAACAAGCTCTTAAACTAGCATTCCCATTTTTTAAATAATAAGGAAATTATTATAACAGTAATACACATTTACTAAAGAAGATTTAGACAATACCAATAAACTTAAAAAAAAAAGTCTCATAGAATATTTAAATACTCAGAAGTAAACACAGTTACTATTTTGGCAATAGTCTCCAGATCTTTTTTTTTTTTTTTCCTTTCATAAACAATTTATATGCTTTTTTTCTTAACAAAGTTTTTTTTTTTTTTTTTTTTTGCTATAGGGTGTGTTTTCCAGAGACTCAGAGAGAGATATATAGAGAGAAAGTGAAAAATCACCCACCCCCCAAGGGATGGCCAAGCCACAATCCCTTCTCCTCCATTCTCCTCTCAGGATTTTGGGCACGCACGCACACGCACCTGGCGTGAGTTTCATGCACTGGGTCCAGGACTGAAACCACGGTCGCCTATGTGGAAGCCCAGTGTCTTAAACCACCATGTCACCTGCTGGTCCCATAATTAACATTCCTATAATTTTTAAACATATCTTTTTTCTCCTCTATGTATTTCTGTGATTATATGCTTAGGATCCACTTCTGTAAGTAAAGTTGATGAATCAAACGGTTTTCACTTCTCTATTCTGATTTACGTTACCACCCATTTCGGACATAGCTCGGCTCATTTTGACACTGCCCACCTGCCCCATACACAGTCATCCGAATGCTGTCTCTCTGTAGTGTCTCATGTATGTGCCCCTCACTTATGTTCAGAGCCAGAACGCTAACTTGGATTCAAATGATCCATGGCAGCATTGAAGAGATGGAGGCTTGCTGGGTTACTAGCTGTGTGACCTTGAAGAGGGAGTGAAATTTCTGTGCCTCAGTTTTCTTACTTGTAAAATGGGAATAATACTGCCTATTTCACTAAGTTCAACACTTGAAGACTGCTTAGAATAGTACCTGGTACTTAATAAGCAAGCTGCTATTTAAAAAACTCTAGTCTGCCAACTAGTCTATTTTCTCTATTAAAATAGATGAGAAAGTCTTAAAAAAAAAAGTCCATGATAAATACGTATCCTACAAAAACTGTAAGTAGAGTTGAAATTTTTTGCACCAAAATAAACGTGTACATTAATTCCATTTATCCATACTTTTTGAAGTCGTCTTATATTCTACACTGCCTAAACGTCAGACTTGTTGCTACAGTGCATTTGTGTTCACCATAGAGAGACAGAGAGACAGACAGGGAAAAAGGCAGCTCCCAGTGGGGCATGGTCACACCCCAATCTCTTCTCCACTGCTCCATCCTGTCAGGTCTTTAGGCACACCCATGTGGTGTTTTTTTTAAAGCAACTGGGCCTGGGATTTGAAACACATGGTTGGCCACATGAGATCCAGCTTCTTTAACTTCAGCTCCAGGACCAGCCAGGGTCTATCTTCTTAAACTACTCCCACATAGCACACTTCTGCTTGGCAGTTACCCAATGCAAATAGGGAAAGTTCGATTTGCTTAGTCTGACTAAGAATAATATCTTCCTCTAAACAATCAAACTCACTCCACTAGCTTTGCTTCCATTAGTTTCCTTCATAAAAAACATTTGCTTTAATAAAATGAACCTACTTATTTCTTCTATATTTTTTCTTTTTTTTTTTTTTACTGCCTGAGGATGAGTGCACTCGTCAGAGTGATAATCCCCCAGCGGGGCATGGGTGTGCTGCAACCCCCTTCCTCCATTTCTCTTTCCCATCAGGATTCAGGGTAGGCACGCACACACACTTAGTCCAGCCGTTTTTCAAGCTGCCAGGGCCAGGATTCAATCTATTTGGTCATGGGGGTCTGGTTCCCTCAATCCCTGTGCTACAGGCCAGCCCGCTCCTAAATATTTTTCATGCTTTTTGTCTATTCAAATTATAAGGCTAAGGAACCAGCAGTTAGCGTAATGGCTATGTTGCTGAACTCCCGTGTAGCTGACTGTGGTTTGAGTCCCGGACCCGGTGGCTTAAGCTCATACTGGGCGTGTATGCAGGCATGCCCAGGATCCCGAGAGGAGAATGGAGGAGAAGGGATTGCGGCATGGCCATCCCCCTGGGGGGTGACTTCTTGCTTTCTGTCTCTCTGTCTCTGTCTTTCTGGTGAGCACACACACCCTTTAGCAAAAAAAAAACCTCTACCAAAAAAAGAGAGTAAATTGTAAGGCTAAGACCAAATAAGTAAGTAAATAAATAAAGTTACAACCCTTTCTTGGAGCCTTTGTTTAGCCTCACAGGTTTGAAATGATTGGTCCTCTGCAGAAACATCTCCACTTTCTGAAACACATGCTCAATGGTGTGTATTCCCTCTTGACATGTGCACACAGTATACCTCAGTAAAATACCCTCCTACTGTATTATGAGTTCCTTCCTGGCAAGTGAACGCTGTTTCTTATACGCAGCTCTAAATAAAGGTTAGCTGATTTGATCACATTTTTATAGAGCTTCTTAAAGAAAATGTGG